GGTCACCAAGGAGGCCCACACACCACTGAGGAGGCCCACAGGTCACCAAGGAGGCCCACACACCACTGAGGAGGTCCACAGGTCACCAAGGAGGTCCACACACACCACTGAGGAGGGCCGCAGGTCACCAAGGAGGTCCCCACACAACACTGAGGAGGTCCACAGGTCACCAAGGAGGCCCACACACCACTGAGGAGATCCACAGGTCACCAAGGAGGACCACCCACCACTGAGGAGGGCCAAAGGTCACCAAGAAGGCCCCCCACACACCACTGAGGAGGTCCACATGTCACCAAGGAGGCCCCCACACACCACTGAGGAGGCCCACATGTCACCAAGGAGGCCCCCACACACCACTGAGAAGGCCCACATGTCACAAAGGAGGCCCCCACACAACACTGAGGAGGTCCACATGTCACCAAGGAGGCCCCCACACACCAATGAGGAGGCCCACACACCACTGAGGAGGTCCACAGGTCACCAAGGAGGCCCCCACACACCAATGAGGAGGCCCACAGGTCACCAAGGAGGCCCACACACCACTGAGGAGGTCCACAGGTCACCAAGGAGGTCCACACACAACACTGAGGAGGGCCGCAGGTCACCAAGGAGGCCCACACACCACTGAGGAGATCCACAGGTCACCAAGGAGGACCACCCACCACTGAGGAGGGCCAAAGGTCACCAAGAAGGCCCACCACACACCACTGAGGAGGTCCACATGTCACCAAGGAGGCCCCCACACACCACTGAGGAGGCCCACATGTCACCAAGGAGGCCCAGACACCACTGAGGAGGTCCACATGTCACCAAGGAAGCCCACACACACCACTGAGGAGGTCCACAGGTCACCAAGGAGGCCCACACACCACTGAGGAGGGCCACAGGACACCAAGGAGGCCCCCACACACCACTGAGGAGGCCCACAGGTCACCAAGGAGGTCCAAACACACCACTGAGGAGGTACACATGTCACCAAGAAGGCCCCCACACACACCACTGAGGAGGTCCGCATGTCACCAAGGAGGCCCACACACACCAATGAGGAGGCCCACACACCACTGAGGAGGTCCACAGGTCACCAAGGAGGCCCCCACACACCAATGAGGAGGCCCACAGGTCACCAAGGAGGCCCACACACCACTGAGGAGGTCCACAGGTCACCAAGGATGCCCACACACAACACTGAGAAGGCCCACATGTCACCAAAGAGGTCCACACACACCACTGAGGAGGTCCACAGGTCACCAAGGATGCCCACACACAACACTGAGAAGGCCCACATGTCACCAAAGAGGTCCACACACACCACTGAGGAGGTCCACACACACCACTGAGGAGGCCCACCCACCACTGAGGAGGTCCACAGGTCACCAAGGAGGCCCACACACAACACTGAGGAGAGCCACAGGTCACCAAGGAGGCCCACACACCACTGAGGAGGGCCACATGTCACCAAGGAGGCCCCCACACAACACTGAGGAGGCCCACAGGTCACCAAGGAGGTCCACACACCACTGAGGAGGGCCACAGGTCACCAAGGAGGCCCCCACACACCACTGAGGAGGGCCACATGTCACCAAGGAGGCCCCCACACACCACTGAAGAGGTCCACAGGTCACCAAGGAGGCCCACACACCACTGAGGAGGGCCACATGTCACCAAGGAGGCCCCCACACAACACTGAGGAGGCCCACAGGTCACCAAGGAGGTCCACACACCACTGAGGAGGGCCACAGGTCACCAAGGAGGCCCCCACATACCACTGAGGAGGTCCACATGTCACCAAGGAGGCCCCCACACACCACTGAGGAGGGCCACATGTCACCAAGCAGGTCCACACAACACTGAGGAGGGCCACAGGTCACCAAGGAGGCCCCCACACACACCACTGAGGAGGTCCACAGGTCACCAAGGAGGCCCCCACACATAACACTGAGGAGGGCCACAGGTCACCAAGGAGGCCCCCACACATAACACTGAGGAGGTCCACAGTTCACCAAGGAGGCCCACACACAACACTGAGGAGGGCCACATGTCACCAAGCAGGTCCACACAACACTGAGGAGGGCCACAGGTCACCAAGGAGGCCCCTACACACACCACTGAGGAGGTCCACAGGTCACCAAGGAGGCCCCAACACACACCACTGAGGAGGGCCACAGGTCACCAAGGAGGCCCCCACACATAACACTGAGGAGGTCCACAGGTCACCAAGGAGGCCCACACACACCACTGAGGAGGGCCACAGGTCACCAAGGAGGCCCACACACACCACTGAGAAGGCCCACATGTCACCAAGGAGGCCCACACACACCACTGAGGAGGGCCACAGGTCACCAAGGAGGCCCCCACACATAACACTGAGGAGGTCCACAGGTCACCAAGGAGGCCCCCACACACACACACCACTGAGGAGGGCCACGTGTCACAAGGAGGCCCCCCCACCAGGGCAGTCCTTCACAGCATACACAGGCCAGACCCACCCAGGGACCACACCTGGGCACCAGTAAGTGCACATCAGCAGGACACCTCAAGGACTGGCCTCCTGCCACGTGTAGCCAGGTCCCAGGGACGCGGCCACTGGAAGTGCCAGCCGTCCCCGCACACTCCTACCCCAGCCAGGTCCCGGGGACGCAGCCACTAGAGGTGCCAGCCATCCCCGCACACTCCTACCCCAGCCAGGTCCCGGGGACACGGCCACTGGAAGTGCCAGCCGTCCCCGCACACTCCTACCCCAGCCAGGTCCCGGGGACGCAGCCACTAGAGGTGCCAGCCATCCCCGCACACTCCTACCCCAGCCAGGTCCCGGGGACACGGCCACTGGAAGTGCCAGCCGTCCCCGCACACTCCTACCCCAGCCAGGTCCCGGGGACGCGGCCACTGGAAGTGCCAGCCGTCCCCGCACACTTCTGTCCTCTGGTCAGGCTGTGGGAGAATCCCCAAGTGGCCGAACTATGCACAGCAGGTGGTGGCAGCAGAGCCAGTGGTGGTGGCGTGTAAAGAGGCTGGGTCCTAGGGACAGACCCTCAGGGGCCCGTGGAGCGAGCAGGACATCCCAAGCTCAGCTGCACCTTCACCAGGGACCCCCGTGCCCAGCAGCCCACAGGCCAGCAGGAGCTCCCCACTCCTTGAGCACATTTCAGGTTCCCAGAAACGTCACCACCACGAGAAATAGGGAGGATCCGGCCTCAGCGCCACCTGCACCGCAGGCATCCTCACCACCATGGCTGTGCGTGACACCATTCGTGACATTACACGGCTGCAGTCACACAAGGCAGCGTCTTCTGTGAACCTGCTTCTCCTTTGGTGCTGGGGGTTGAACCAGGGCACTTACCATGGAGCCACATGCCAGCCCTGTTTATTTTGTACCTTGAGTCAGGGTGCCACTAAATTCCTTAGGGCCTCCCTAAGTGGCTGAACTGGCTTGGAACTTGTGATCCTCCCGCCTCAGCCTCCTGAGCCACAAGGATCCCAGGCACGGGCCACCGTGCCCAGGGAAGTCACATATCATAAAAGAACATCTAGAGGTGGCAGCAGGAGAAATGCCCAGAGAAGCTCCCAGGTCCACACCCAGGGGGACTTCCTGGGCCCTGCATTGGACACCTTGGGCCCCTGCATTCACACTGTGGGTCCACCCAGCGCTGGGACTGCAGTGACCAGGGTCCCACCTCAAGGTCCACAGCAGTCAGGATCACGCCCCATCAGGCTCCTGGGGACAAGCAGGCCGACAGGGACAACCTCCAGGCCCAGGTGACACCCGGATCGCAGCACCACAGACTCTGGGTGGGCACAGGGCGGGGGACTGCTTCCCAGCAGACAGCCACTTACGCCTCTATCGACCCCAGGAGCGGAGGAACCCACCAGGGCAGTGTGACAGCCACCGTCGCTTCAGGGAAGAGGAGAAGGGGCTTCTGCCTCAGCCACCCCCACCAGGGCGAGGGACAGGAGGCGTGACCAGGCCTGAGCCTGCATCCCCAGGGCTCTCCGTCCTTGCCCAGCGCCTCCTGGGGCCTCGAGGAACACTGGGCCTCCTGCCGGCAAGCTCACGTCACGCACACCACGTCACGCCCCACACACGCCGTGCCACGCCCCACGCACATGGCCCCAGAGCAGGCAGTGGTGGCCCTCGCCCAGCGAGGCAGGGTGGGCTGCCTGTGTCCCCTCGCCCAGAGCTGGGGCCCTCGGTGTCTTTCAGGGAGCTGTGGCCACAGGGAGGCCAGTCGTAGAGCACTAAAGGAGCTGAAAGAGGGGTGTGGCCAAAGTCGAGCCCGGCTCTGGGCACAGTGACATTGGGCCGAGGTGTCCTTCCAGGCGGGCACCCCAGCAAACCAGCAGGCGCCAGGCGAAAGCATTGGGACAAGACCTTGGGAGGCCTTCATGGGACATTAGGTGACACAGAAACGGCAGGCGGGGCCTTTCTGGTCAAACGCTAGACCCAGCAGTCACAGCTGGGCGTGTCTCTGCTCCCCAAAGTTGGTGACCCCCGTAGATGGCCGGCTACTCCCCTGTCCCCACTTGTGTGGTCCTCAGCCCTGAAGGCCACCGAGCTCCCAAGTCAGCAGCACAGGCAGGCCTCATGCTCGATCTCTGGAGGGCACCGCATGGGGGCCATGCGGGGGGGCCACGCAGGGGGGCCACATGGGGGGGCCACGCGGGGGAGCCACGCAGGGGGGCCACACAGGGGCCCCTCAGCCCTGGCCGACAGGGGGTGATGAGCCCCGGGGCCCGGTGCCCAAGGCCAAGCAGGCCTTCGCCCAGCTCAGCCTGCGGAGCCTCCTCGCGGCCAGCACCACCGGCTTTCCTGTCTCCACGCTCTCAGAAGCAGGCACAGCCTCGGTGACGGCCCTCAGAACTCAGGGCTGCAGAAGCCTCCTCGTGGCCACCTCAGAGAAGGGTGGCAGTAAAACCTCAGCGGCCAGCCTGCCTATCGCCAGGCGGCCGGGGCCCCAGACCAACGGTGGACGTGGAGCAGACGTCGGCTCCTGGCTTCCACTTACCTCGGCGTGCTCCGACCGGCTGACCCCAGGACGGCCTGCCCGGGCCAGGGGAACCTAGGCCGGCAATCCCGCAGCGTCTCCGCAGTCGCACCTTGGGCTGTGCCGGCCGGAAGGCCTCCACTCTGGAAGAGAAAGGCCCGGTCACTGACAGCCCTCCCCAGAGCTGAGCTCATGGGGCCCGCTCCATGAAAGCCCCTTCCCCAGCACGGGCTGCACTGTCCTTTAAGGGGCACACAGTGGCCTGCATCCCTCCTGCCCTCAGCAGGACGTGAACACACATGACCGCCACACGGAGACCTCTGCAGCCAACGGTCCCCAGCATAAAGCCACCCAGAGCCCAGGAAGGAAGGAGACTGGGGCCCTCTTGGACATACTGCTCCTCTTCGGCTCAACCGGCCCACACGTGCACACCCGTGTACTTGAGTGCAGACACAGAAACCCACGTGTGCCCCACCCTGCTGGGCCCTGGACGGCCCTCTCCAGCTGGTCTGCTCTGCAGGACAGTGGTTTCCAATGCCCTGCTTCTCAGCAGAGGCTCCTCCCACCTGAGGGGAGGTTCACAGAGATGACAGGTCCCTGCGTGGGACCTGGAGGAGGAGGCCGGGCAGAGGCCAGGAGCACTGGAACACGGTCCGCCCTTAACTACACAGGCTGGGTCAGGTCCTCCGAGGGGTGAGGCTGGAGACACTTCCCAGCACCCTTCTGTGCCTTAGGTCCACCAGGGACCCAGACAGGTCCTCTGCCTGTGAGGGCAGATGTGGGCACGCTGACAGCAGGCTCCCTCCCGCTCTGCGCTCGCACCACCACGTCGATGGCCGTATCACAGATGCCTCGCTGGCCCGGGGCCACAGCCTACGTCATTCTGTCCAGTACAGGGGCACCTGTCAAGAGTCCAGGGCTGCTGTCCTCGGGACCCCTTCCCATCTCACCCCCCTCGAGTACCCAGGAAGGCACGAGTGCACATTGCAACAGGGAGAAAACAACGGCGCCCTAGTGGCCCACAGATGCTCAGAGCCAGCCCAGAGCAGAGGAAGGGGGGAGGAACGAACCCACCCCTGGTAGGGCAGAGCCACACGGCCGAGCTGGCCAGGTCTGGACCAGAGGCCTGGGCTGGAGAGAAAGTGAGCGCCCGCGGGCTGGGTGGCCAGCAGCCATGCGGCAGGCAGCGTGGCTCTGCACGTCAGCGCCCAGAGAAGCCGTGCTCCTGCTCCCACCTCCTGGTGCCCTCTTCAGGAAGCCACCAGGCCCAGAGGTCAAGCTAGCTGGGCAAGGCCACAGACCCCGCCAGCAGTGCTGGCCAAGGCACTGAAGAAGTCTCAGGGGCCACGAGGAGAACCAAGGAACCCAGTCTCTGGCGGAACTGAGTCCCCAGACACACGGCCACCTCTAGACACAAGGTGATCCTGCTGAAGTCCCAGTCACCACCAGGAGTCAGTCCCTGACCTGCCACCTCGAGCATCACAAAGTGATGGCGTTTGATGTCAGTAAGTTTTGGGATGGGTCAGTAGGCAGCCAGTGCTGGCCAAGACAGAACGGTCACTTCAAACCCTGACAACACAGAATAGGGTATGCTTCAGACATAAGGACCCTGAGTGCACATGAGAGGTGACCAGACGGTAGGTCAGTAAGCCAGTGGTAGGAGACAGCAAGACCACCCGCCCAGGCTGGCGGGGCTGGAGGCAGGTGGCTGGGCCTCGGGGTTTGCATCTTGTCCTTGGTGGGTGGAGCTCTCTGCTCCCTGGCACCACTTCCTGGGCTGCTGTCCCCCTGACTCCTTCTGCCATGATGTTCTGCCTCACCGTGCGCCAGAGCCACCGAGTTGGCCGACCAGGGACTAGACCCCCAAAACCGTGAGCCGAAATGCACTGTCCCCCTCATAGGTTGCTGGTGTTGGTCTCCTGGTGACAGCGGCAAAAGCTGACAAAGCATACATTGAGAACTTCATTCCCAAACCCGTGGCTTCAGCAAGAGGAGCAGGTTCTACACACACGCTCACCTCGGCTGGGTCCAGAAGCAACAGGAGCTGATGGCCCACACGCGGAAGGACCAGAGTCAGAAACAAGAGCTCCAGCCTGGACGGCTTCACCGAGACCTGGGCCTGACCCCCAGGACGCGCTGAGGCAGGTGGGAAGGCGTGGGCCGGGCGGCGGCAGAGCGCTCCAGCAAGGGTGCAGGCACGTGCAGGGAGAGCCGGAGTGCAGCCCAGGCAGGGTGCACGCACACCCATCCATCAGGGCAGCCGCGGGGCCACGCGGGACAGTGCCACCACACCCTCAGGGTGCGTGCTCACTGGGAAACTGGGAGGGACGGGGACCATCCTGTGGAACGCAGGGGAGACCCTGCCTAGCCGGGATGGACAGCAGCTGTCCGCCAGGGGCACGAATGTCACCGTGGGTGCCCAGTCTTCATGTTAGCCTGCTGATGTCCCCGTGGACGTGCAGCAAGACCATTCTCTTCTACACGTGGCCGTGTGGACTTTGGCCCTCGCAGCAGCAACGTGCCAGGAAACAGCAGGCACCAGGAAGAGAGGCCACGCCTGCCGCGGCTGGTCCTCCGGGCAGCTCCGCAGGCCGACTGCACTACCACGCACCAGCGGGTCCACCAGCTGACCACCCACAGCAGTCGCAGCAGAAGAGAGAGGCCCAGGTGGGGAGCCAGAAAGAGCAGAGCAGGGAGGGGCTGGAAAGCCTCGGCGTGAGGCAGGGGCCAGGGCACAGCCCTGCCCAGCCCTCGGGCCGGGCCACTCCTACAGAAGGGCAGCTAGGAGGAAGAGGCAGTCCAGCAGGAGAGGTTCCTGGCGCCCGTCCCTGTGTGCTCCGAGCTCCAGTTAGGAAACGGCGGGTACCGCACATCTCATGGCGTCGAACGCAGTCCTCTCGCTGTTCCCAAGCAGGTGAGACTCCAGTTAGAGAGCGTGAGCGGGAATCCAGGTCAGGAAACCTGGGGGCCTTCTAGGGGCCTGGAGTGCCACACGAGACCTCTGGGCAGCAGCTGACCTGTCCCTGGTCCCCTGCATTGTGCTGGAGCCGAGGGATGGAAACGTGTCTTGGGTTGGTTCCACTGAGTAGATTAAACGAATGGTGCGTGCTCAGCCAACGAGCAACACCCTCCCCTGGGACAGAGGACTGACTGCAGGACGGTCCGCACAGGGTCTCAGCACGGAGCCTCCCGGAGAGCGGCCCGTTTCCCTGCAGTGCGCCTCGGCAGAATTCCTCTGCGCACCGCGGCTGTCTTTTGAAGACACGCCTTTGTTCATTTATTCTGGTCTGGGGAGGGAAGCCAGGCCTCGTGCACGCTAGGCAAGCCTAGACCACTGAGCTGCACCCGGCCTGGCCTCGTCCTCTAAAGCCCACTAGCCACGTGACTGGGCACTGTTTATGACCTGAGAGAAGACACTCCCTGAGCTCCCAGCAACCGGAGTCTCCACGGAAGGCACCTGGTGCCGCGCTGGGCCACTGCAAGGCAGGGCCTTCACCTGCTGCATCCTGCTGCATCCTGACCCGAGGCCTGCTGGGCTGGCTGCACGGCCTCCAGCAGAAGCCACAGGGCAGCGGGGCAGCATGCAGTCCCTGAAGGGCTGGGCTCCCTCCACCACAAACCCCACCCAACAGCAGGTCCCGGGGCGCTGCACACGCTGTGGACCTGGCTACTGCAAAGGCAGGCAGGGCACAAGGCCAAGTCCACCCTGCCCCACCTGCCCAAGCCTGAGGACACGGGGACGGAAGCCCAGGGCTGAGGCCTGCCAAGAAGGGGCACAGCAGGCACCCCACCAGCCCCACCTGGTGTCCACCGAGCCTGGACTCTCAGGGAAGGCAGCCCTGACGGGGGGCAAGCAGGGAGGGCCCTGCACGTGGTCACTACAGCCCTCCCCTAGGTCACGGGTCATGATCACATGGCTGGTACCCAGCAGTGCCCAACTGTACCTCCTTGAACAGCGGCACAGACGGCCAGCAGAGAAAAGCCATGTCCTCTCTGGAGAATCACAGAAGTCCCTGTCCAAGGAAAATGAGCAGCTCAGGCCAGGAGGATTGTCCCACGGGCCATGAGGACAGGAGGATGAGCCAGTACCAACAGGACGTGTGAGAGACAGCAGGGCCAGCTGGCCACCCACCCGCACACAGAAGCAAAAGCTCGCAGAGACAGTCGCAGTGGGACCAGTAACTGGCATCTCCGTCTCAGGGGTCACTGCAGCTTTGGCTTCCTCCACACTTGGCCCTCTCAGGGTGCCTCCAGGACTCCACCCTACTGCGGTTTGCCGCCTCCCAGGCCTTCTTCCTTTGAAATCTTGGTGGGCGCCTCCTTGACCCCCAACTCCAGCATCCTGCATTCCTGCAGAACCAGCCCCACATGGCTGACACCAAGTCGGCTGCCATCTGCAGCAGTGGCCAGGCCTCCAGGACCCTGGCTGCAGAGCCTCTGAGGGCCTGGCTGAGCACACTGAAAAGCTTCCTAGGTCCCCTTGTGCAAGAATTGTGCCCCGCTGGTCTCTTCTCAAGATCATGTCACTTTTACTCCTTTAAGCCTGAGACAGGTGTGGTCTGGCCAGCTCCTGAGATGCCCTCAAGCCATCTTTCTTACTGTTTCTGGGCAAAGCCTTTAGCATTTTAGTGGCCTAATGTCTTTAACAACTGCAGCTTCCTTGGGCCCAGTTTTACTCCTGAGACCAGCAAGCAGAGATTCAAGTGCGCGTTTTTTAAATCTGTCTGCTCTGCTTTCTGCTCCTGATTATCACAATTAATTTGGCTAAAAGCTGCCAGCAATATCCATGCCACTGCCTGAATGCTATGCTGCCTAGAAATTTCCTCCACCAGATAAAGGAATCCGTTGTTTTTAAACCCAGCCTCACAGAAAGTCTCAAGAGACAAGCCAATCAATTTCTCAGCCAGAACAGAACACGAAGGGCCTCTAGTCCATTTACCAATAGTGTCCTCCTTTTCCTCTAAACCCTCTTGAGCCCTGTCTTCACTGCCCACGGTCCTGTTAGCATTCTGGTCCTCTGAGCTCCCACCAGAATCAGCCAGTAGCTTAAACAATCTAAAGCATTTCCAGCTTGCACTGCTAAACATCTCAAATTCCTCCCACCAATTCCAAAAAGCTCCAAAAAAATTCTGGAGCCAAGGCTCAGAGCGCTTGCCTGGCATGCATGAGGCACTGGGTTTGATCCCTGGCACCACATAACAATAAAAAATAAAATAAAGGTATTGTGTCCAGGGCTGGGGATGTGGCTCAAGCAGTAGCGCGCTTGCCTGGCATGCACGCGGCGCTGGGTTCGATCCTCAGCACCACATAAATAAAGATGTTGTGTCCACCGAAAACTAAAAAATAAATATTAAAAAGTTCTCTCTCTCTCTCTCTCTCTCTCTCTCTCTCTCTCTCTCTCTTAAAAAAAAAAAGAAAGATATTGTGTCCATCTAAAACTAAAAAAAAAAAAATCTGATCCACACGGTCGGCAACGACACCCTCCTGGTACCAACGTCTGTCTTGGGTCAGCTTTTTTGCTGCTGCACCTGAAAGACCTGAAAAAAATGGCTGTAGAGGGGGAGAGGTTTATTTAGGGCCTCGCGGTCTCAGAGGTCTCAATTAACAGACAGCAGGCTCCTTTCCCCGGGGTTCCAAGTAAGGCAGGGTAGCATGGCAGAAGAGTGAGCAGAGGGAAACAGCTCACCTGACGGCCAGAAGCAGACAGTCCACCTGCCAGATCCTGACATATAGGCCATGGCCACGCCCCCAGTGCCCCCTCCTCAGCCACGCCCCTGCCTGCAGTCACCAGTTAACCCCAGGAGGAAGGAGGAGTTCACTGACTAGGTTAGTGTTAGAGCCCAGTCGCTTCTCCTCCACGCCTTCCTGCCCTGTCTCACACGTGACTTCATCCAAACCACAACCAAGGACGAGGGGCCACAGAGCAGAACAAAGTGCCCCTGGAGGGCTCAGCACCAGGACCAGGGCAGTGGCGCAGGGGATGCCAGCGTGGAATCGAACGCACGCACCCTCTCACCAACCACAACCAGTGGCCACCAGCTCCTGCCGCAAGAACCCCAAGGGCGTTCCAGAAGGCTTCTCTTAGGAAGAGACACCAGACAGACGTAGCCTCAATGACACCCTGTCAGCCTCATACAACAAACTGGAGGGTCTCCTCAGAAAGGGCCCTGCACCCATGGAAAACACCTAAAACCAGCAAAGGGAACGGAGGCTGCTAGAACGAACACAGATGTTTTCTGATAGTGAGAACACGGGCCACGTGCAGCGCCTGTCCACACGCCTGGCCTTGGGCAGGCCAAGAAGAGGAGCAGCAGAGCTGGGGACACGTGGGGACATACCCTCAAAACAGAGCCAAGGGGGAGGCAGGAGCAGGTGCTGGCCTCCGTCCACGGAGGCGTGGGCACCCTCCCTCTGCCGGCACGTGTGGTCCTGATGGAGGAGGGCTGAGATGGGCTCTGGGGGCCCAGGAGCACCACACAGCAGGTGCTCGCCTGGCCTTCCTCGCACGCCCTGGGGCATCTGTCCAGTGGAAGCAGGCATGGCCTTGCCCAGATGCTCAAAGGAGCCCATCATTTGCCCCTGCCCAGGGAGGGTGGTGCACTCTGCCCACAGCCTGCAGGCGACCCCAGCCTCTCGGGGGCTGACCTGCAACATGGCAACCAGGGGTTGGTGGGTGGCTGGCGGGTAGGGGAAGCCTGCTGGCAGGAGCACAGGAAGGACCTTCAGCTTCCTGTCTGCGCCTCGACACCCTGGGAAACAACAGGAAATACCTCCTGAGCTTGAAAGGAAGCCAATGGGCACCTAGGTTCCAGAACCACCAGGGAACCCGTTTGACACACACCAGGACCTCGGGAGCAGACACTGGGAGGCTGAGAACCAGCGCCAGCGCATGGGCAGAGCGGCAGGACCCTAAAGACATGGGTGCCGTGAGCGTGCGCCCCTGACTAGCCAGGGTTCGCGACACTGGCTCCAGTGAGACCCGCACTGTGGGCAGGGTGCGAGCTGCCACCCTGACGCCAAGCCTGTGGAGGAGCGGAGAGTCTGACGAGGGGCGGCAGCAGCCTGAGTGCTTCAGATCTCGAGGCCTAGGTCTAAGCACCGCCTCCTCAGCTGCAAGCCAGCAGCTCTGCAGTGGACACCAGCCAGGTGTCCACTGGCTCCACTCGGTTCTGATGCCATCTATCTGGACGGAGTGTCAGCTCCACGGGCTGCAGGGTCGGAGGCCGGTTAGGGTCAGGGTCAGGGTCGGGGAGTCCCAGGCCCCTGCTGAGCTCCAGAACTCAGGGAAACAACGGCACTGACCAGTGGAGCACCAGGACATGCAGAGAGGCACGGAAGGGTGAGGAGGGACGGCGTGCTGCCCAGAATCCCAGCCCTGTCCCAGAGTAGGACGGCTAATGGACTCGGGAGCGCAGCAGGCCTGCTCCCCCTCCCTCCTGCGCTGCCCGAGGGCACGGCAGGAGCCCTCTGTACTACCAGATGGCAGTGCCCTGCAGGGCTTATCATAGGCCTGGCAGGACCAGGAAGAGGCCGCCCTCAGGGAGGGAGTGATGAGCCAAGGATGGGGTGAGAGCCAGCACCCCCATCTTAACACCCCATGTGTCCCCCGGTGGGTGACAGGGGAGGAGGCTGACATGGTGGGGCCCAGGGGCAGACGGTAATTCTCTGTACCTTCTGCTCAATTCTGCGGTGGACCCGAAACTGCCCAAAAAAATAAAGTCTAAGTCAGGCATGAAGGCGCACACCTGTGATCCCAGCAGCCAGGGAGGCTGAGGCAGGAGGATCGCAAGTTCAGAACCAGCCTCAGCAACTTACCAAGGCCCTGTCTCAA